GTTAGAAAATCAATAACATCAGATAACAACTCAAGACTAGAATACAGGACAGAGCAACCAGATGTCAACCCAGATAGGGAAGTTACAAAAACAAATCAAAGCAAAAACACTGAACATAGGGAAAGAGATTTGTCTATATATAACAGATGACAACATTAAAACAAAAAAGAAGCACTTAAAAAATGTAGACATAGATTTTGCATATCGAGAGAAAGTCAAGGCGATATCAAGAAATAAAAGACTGGTATAAACTTAGAAAATAGGGGTAAATATTAAGGTAACTACAATGGAAACTAACAATCATAGAAGTCAAAATAAAAAACCAGAAAAATATAAAGACTCAGCAAACACAAAATCAACAACAATGAAAAAGATGAAAAGAAAATACATAAAGAAAACTGACCCGGCACAGAAAATTAAGTGGAACAAAGAAACTGTCAATGACACACAAAAAAAGACATCAAAATGACAGCACTAAACCCATACCAATGAATGATTGCCCTGAATGTAAATGGACTAAATGCACCAATAAAGAGACAGAGAGTGGCAATTTGGATTAAAAAACACGATCTGTCTATATGCTGCCTATAAGAGACACAACTTAGACTTACAGACACAAACAAACTAAAACTCAAAGGTTGGAAAAAATTATATCAAGTAAATAACACTCAAAAAAGAGAAGGAGTGGCAATATTAATCTCTGACAAAATATACTTTAAAGTAAAATCCACCACCAAGGATAAGGAAGGACACTATATAATGATTAAAGGGTCAATACACCAGGAGGACATAACTATAATAAATATTTATGCACCCAACAATAGGGGTACAAAAAACATAAAACAAACTCTAACAGCACTGAAAAGAGAGACAGACAGCTCCACAATAGTAGTAGGAGACTTCAACACACCTTCTGTGAAGGATGGAACATCCAGAAAGAAGCTCAACAAAGACACAGTAGAGCTAAATGCTACAATCAACCAACTTGATGTCATACACATATACCAAACACTCCACCCAACAGCAGCCAAGTATACTTTATTTTCCAATGCACTTGGAACATTCTCCAGGATAGACCACATATTAGGCCATAAAGCAAGCCTCAACAAAATCCAAAGCGTTGAAATATTACAGAGCATCTTTTCTGACCACAAAGCCATAAGACTAGAAATCAGTAACACAAAAAGCAAGGAAAAAAAGTCAAACACATGGAAACTGAACAACACGTTGCTCAAAAACTACTGGGTTATAGAAGAAATTAAGGATGGAGTAAAGAAATTGATGGAGTCAAATGAGAATTAAAACACTTCCTACCACAACCTTTGGGACACAGTAAAAGCAGTGCTCAGAGGTCAGTTCATAGCAATAAATGCACACATCCAAAAGAAGAAATGGCCATGATCAAAACATTAACCCTACAACTGAAACAGGTAGAAACAGAGCAGCAAAAGAATTGCACAGGTGCAAAAGAAAGGAAATAATAAGAATTACAGTAAAATTAAATGAAATAGAGAATAGAAAAACAATCAAAAGAGTTAACAAGATCAAAAGTTGGTTCTTAAGAGATCAACAAAATTGATAAACCATTGGCCAAACTGACAAAAGAAAAACAG